TGAGCCCCGGGGGCGCAGCCACTGCCCATCTGACGCCTGGAGCCGGGGGCGCAGCCACTGCCGGTCAGGACGCCTGGAGCTGGGGCAGCGAAGGCGCCAGGTGAGACCTCCTGGCTGACCGGTGACCCAGGGGCAGGGTCGCCATCCTGCAACGGGGACCCAGGTCGTGACAGACCCAAGTGGGGGAGAGACCCCTGTCCTCGCAGTCCCGGGGGTGGGGATGGGGTGTGCGGGCCAACCCCCTGCATCGGGAAGGAATAAGGACACTCCCGAGCCTGTAGGGTAAGCTGTGCAGGAAACGGGGGCAGCTAGGCACCCCGTGTCCCCGGGGCCTGGGAGGCAGCCACCGGGCCGAGCACAGAGGGGAGACCCACGTGCGCTCTATCCTCTAGAAACACGCCGGGAGGGAGGCGGGAGGATGGGGGGGACAAGAGACCCGAGAGCCCGAGCCCCCGGACACGCACTTGGTGACCACGGCGATCTTGACCCCGAAGACCCCCGTCTGCTTCCGGGACGGCATCCTCTTCAGGCTGAACTCCCTGCTGGTGAACTTCACCGAGAGCTTCACCTCGATCTGGGGGAGGAGACGGCACGGCCCTGTCACCCTCTGGTCCTCACGGCCCAGGATCCGGGGCGCATCTCCCCACCCCGGGGGCGGGCAGGCCCAGATCCCAGCGCCAGGTGGACCGCCGCCGGGACGCCCGGGTCCGAATCAGGAGCAGGATGGCGCGGGGCGGTGTACGGACCAGTTTGGCGGAACCTCCCCCACAACCCCACTGCTTCTCTTTTTAATTTAATTTTTTGACTTTTTGCTTGTTTCTCTCTCTCTCTCCCTCTCTAAAATGTCTTAGATTTGCCAATTCACTTTTTTGTCTTTTAACCCTCACGCGGGGGTATTTTTCCACTGATTTTTAGAGAGAGTGGAAGGGAGAGGGAGAGAGAAACGAAGGGCCCTGAGGACTCGTCAGGGGACCTGCCTGTCCTGGCGGTGCCACTGCCTCGTGCTTGGGAGGGATGCCAGTGCCTGGCCGCTGGCTGCGCTCCACCCCCCACGTGGGTCCCTCCCTCCCGGTGCAGCGGCTCTGCTCTTCGGGCCTCCCCCTCCTCCAGCCCCCCCTCCCTCCTACACGAGCGGAGCCCTGCTCACCTGCTGGGGTGAGCGGTGGCCCCCAGAACCCCGCGGGTACATACCCCGTTCATGGCGATGACGGTCCGCTGCCAGTCTCTGTCCTGCAGGGCCTGGGGGTCCAGCTGAAAGCAAGGGGTCGCGATGACCAGAGGCCCTGGGACCCGTGCAGAGGCCCCGCCAGGCCGCAGCCCACGGCCGCTGCTCCTCCAGACCGAGTCGCAGTCGGTGCCGCACCTGGGCCAGCACCTCCACCCTGGGCCAAGGTGCCCCCGGCAGGGAGAGGGCCTGCTGGCACCTGCGACCCCGAGAGCCCTCCTGCTCCCGACCGCTGTCCTCTGGGGCCGGGGACACCCTGTGTGTGAGGTGGTGACGGCTCGGGCCCTGCTCCCGGCTCCTCCCTCCATCCCGTCCAGATGGGAGCTGAAGTCCATGCTGGCAGTCCAGGAGCTGGGGCTCCCCTGCCCCGCCTCGTCAACTCTCACAGGTGCTACACTCAGCCAGGGCTGAGTCCTCGCTCTAAGTGACAATTCTGGACGCCCCATTTCACGCAGATCTGCCTGGAGGCAATGCCATCCAGAAGTTCGGGCCGCGGCTCCTCCCACAGCGTGCGCTGAGGTCTGGCCCTGGGGCCTGGTGCCCAGGAGGGGCCTCCCGCTGGGCCAGGCTCGTGGCTTAGAGTCTGGCCCAGAAGGAGCCAGCGCCCAGCTCCCAATCACGACGCTAGGGACTCGGGGCGCTGGCCTGCAGGCCTCCGCTGTTTAAAGTCACCTAAGGGGTGCCCGGCCCAGCCGGCGAGCGGCTGAGCGTCCACCTAGGAACCGGGAGGTCAGGTTCGATTTCGGCCCGGGCACATGCCCAGGTTGCGGGCTCCATCCCCAGTGTGGGGTCTGCAGGAGGCAGCTGATCTCTCTCTCTGCCCCTCTCCCTCTCTCTCTCTCTCTCCAAAAATCAATAAAACCGTATTTAAAAAAAAAATCAAAGAACTGAGACTTGGCCATCGCAGCCGACCAGCAAAGGGACAGGGAGAGGAGGGGACGGAGGCCCCTGCCGGACACAGCTCCCCCCGGGAGACGCCACGGCACCGCCGGCCCACCTTGCCCTTGCACAGGAGGTTTCGAAGGTGGGTCCACAGGGTGGTGCCCGGAGCGCACAGGTGCTTGTCCGCACGGACCCCCGGGCTCCGGTGGAAGCAGCGCAGGAGGCCCCGCATGGGGCCCGGGGTGG